TTTCAGTTTTCGGTTGCGTTCTTACATTAGTGACAGTTGCAGACTGATGGGCAAGGCAGAGAGCCCTAACAAGTCAGACATCAGAGCCCACGGGAGTCGGCACAGGCTGAGCGGTGGCTTTGTGGGTGCGCGTGAAATGAGGGCCAGGGCGGGGGCAGGAGGTGATGGCAGGGGTGAAGACTGGCTGGAGTGGGAAGAGGGGCAGCTCTTGCACCTTTGCACCATCCACTCTACCTTCATTCTGGCTCACTCACCATCTCACCCGCACTACTGCCTGCAGCCTGTGCTGTTACTCCTGAGTCTACTTACCCTTGAACTTTCTCCTCTGTGCTTCCTTCACATGCTGCATGTGAGCTCTCTAACATGCAAAGCAGACTTTTCATCTCTTGGCAATATTCAGCTCTGAATCCCTGATGTTCAGTACATAGCAGGTGGTTAATAAATGTTTGCTGAATGAGTGAATAGGTTTTGGAAATGATGGGCATTTAACAGAAGGCATAGCCCTGTTTTAAAAGAGAGCAGAACTAAAACCTTAAAGAAGAAGAATCTGTGGGGTTTTTTTTTTAAATCACCCTGACATAAACAGTCCTGATTTTTAAACATAAAGGAGTAAATCAGAAATGCTAAATAAAAAGGTCAGGAATAAGATTTTATGAGGTTTCATTTGTTGTTAAAGCCAGTTCAAGTGTTGACAGGAAGAGCAAACAGCAAACATAAACCTTTTGTGCCCTCTAACAAAGGGGCCTTATTCGAAGGGAAGGGCTCTATGTTATGCTGAGGTGGCGATTGTGCTCTGACCCAGGGTCTCATGAGGTTTATGGCTATTTCTACCCAGAAGCTTCAAGTGGAAGACTTTTTTCATTCTTCATTATGTTTGGTAACGTTATAGTATTGCTCTTAGAAATGAAGAGGCCTCTTAGTTTTTCCTAGGCATTTACACCTGAGAAACAAAAGACCAGGAATCTAATCTTGACTTCATTTTCATAAAGTACTTTATTGAAAGCATTTCATCTACCTTGGTCAAGTCATTTAGCTTTTTTAAAAAAGATTTTATTTATGTTTAGAGAGGGAATGGGAGGGAGAAAGAGAGGGAGAGAAACATCCATGTGTGGCTGCCTCTCGAGCGCCCCCTACTAAGGACCTGCCCACAACCTAGGCATGTGCCCTGACTGGGAATCAAACCAGTGACCCTTTGGTTTGCAGGCTGGCACTCGATCTACTGAGCCACACCAGCCAGGGCCAGCTTCTTGGAACATTTGTTTCCCCAGGTCTGTGCCAGTCCTTACTTACTTTTTGCAAAGCTATACTCTAGCTTAGTGAAATAATGAAAAGCATTATAAAATCTAAAGGAAATATTTCCCCCATGAACTAAGTACTTCTCTGATCACTTTAAGCTATTTAACTGTGGTAAAGAAAGAAAACATGTTTTGGGTTGTTCATTTTTTCCTCTTTCATTGCATATTAACAATAAATTTGTAGATAAACAAAATGTGGTGTAGCCATCCAATGAAATGTTGACTCCTCCATAAAGAGGAATGAGGCACTGCCACCGGCTGCAACATGGTTGGGCCTCGAACCCAGTGTGCCATGTAAAGGAAGCCAGAACCCCCACCCAAAAAAGAGCATTGTGTATGATTTGATTTATATGAAATGGCCAGAATGGGCAAGCAGAGAGAGACAAAAAGTAGATTAGCAGTTGCCAACGGGTGGAGGTGGGGAGAATCATGACTGATTGTTAATTGATAGTTGTCTTTGCGGGGTGATGGAAATGTGCTGGAATTTGGTAGTGGTGATGGTTGTACAACATTGTGGAAATACTAAAAACCATGTAATTATATAATTTAAAATGAATAAAATGGTGAATTATTAAAAAATAAATAAATTTATAGCTTTAATGTGCTAAGAAACTAAAGTCCTCAGTGATTAAGGGAGAAAAACTGTTAAAAGCCTAAAAAAGAGTAAAAAGGTGTAAACAAATGCCATGTAGAATACTTCCCAATTTGTTTTGTGAAGTCAGCATTACCCTAACACCAAGACCAGAAAAAGGTAATACAACCGCATACCCATAGTGTTTATGAATACAGATGCAAAAATACTAGAAAGCTGAATCTAACAACATATAAAAAGCATTGTTCACCATGGCCAAGTGGGATTTATTCCAGGAATGAAAAGTTGGTTCAGTATATAAAGACCAATGAATGTGATACATCATGTTACCAGAATAAATGACAAAACCCACATGACCTCAAATAACAAAGAAAAAGCATTTGATAAAATTCGACACACTTTCATTATAAAAACACTCGACAACCCAGAAGTAGAAAGGACCCACTTCATCCTGATACAGGGCGTTTGTGAAAAACCCGCAGCTAACATCATACTTAGTGCTGAAAGATTAGAAGCTTTCTTCTAAGATCAGACACAAGACAAGGACTTCTGCTCTTAACACTTCTATTCAGTATCCTGCTGGGAGGTCTAGCCAAGGAAGTTAGGCAAGAAGAAATACAAAGTATCCAGATAGGAAAGAAAAAAGTAAAACTATCTCTGTTCACAGATGATATATATATAGAAGGAAATTTTAAGGAGTCTACCCACAAACTGTAAGAACTAATAAATTCAGCAAGATTGCAGGATATAAGTTTTAAATACAGCAGCCAGTTGTATTTCTATATGGTAGCAATGAATAACCTGAAATGAAATTAAAAAACAGTTCCACTTGTCATAGTATCAAAAAAAATAAAATATGTAGGAGAATAAACTTAGACATGAGGGAAACAAATGCAAATCAAAACCACGGTGACACACCACTTCACACCCACGAGGATGGCTCTAATAGAAAGGACAGACAATAATGGACCCCCAGATGTTGCTGGTAGGAATGGAAAATGGCATAGCGTCTTTGGGAAACTGGCTGTATCTGAAAACATGAGACATAACTCAGAAATTTCACTCCTAGGTGCATACCCAAGAGAATTGAAAATAAATGTAGATGTAAAAACTTGTATACCAGTGTTCATTATTCATAATAGCCAAAAGATGAAAACAACACAAATATTTATCAGCTGATGAATAGATAAAGAAACTGGCATATCCATACAATGGAATATTATTTGGCAATAAAAAGGAATGAAGTTTTGATACATGCTACAATGTGGGTAAATCTTGAAAACTTCATATTGCCCTGACTGGTGTGGCTCGGTTGGGTGGGCATCGTTCACGAAGTGAAAGGTCGTGGGTTGGATTCCCTGTCAGGGCACATGCCTGGCCCGCAGGTTCAGTCCCCTCGGTCAGGGTGCCTGTGAGAGACAGCTGATCGATGTACCTCTCTCACATGGATGTTTCTCTCTCTTAAAAAAAAAAAAAAAGAACAAAAAAACATTGTTTAGTGAAAAGAGACAGAAAATGCCACATGGTGTGATTCCATTTCTGTGAAATGTTCTGAGTATGCAAATCCGTGGAGACAGAACGTGGATTGGCAGTAACCAGTGACTGAGAAGAAGGGCAGTGGGGAGTGACAGCTCATGGACGTGTGTGTCTTTTGGGGGGTTGGTGAGGAACATGTTTGGAATTAGTGGTAATGGCTGCACAGTTTTGTGAGTATATTAAAAACCACTGAATCTTTAAAAGGGAGGGAACACATTAAAAGGAAGAGGGACCTTTAGTGTTTTTCACTGTCTTCCTTTTGAAAATCAGAGTTTGAAAGGTGCTTCCTCTTCAGATTCCAGCAGGCCACGTCTTCTTGGCTCTGTCTCACAAAAGTATTTTCAATACTGCCTTCACAGAGAACTGTTTCTTGGATTCCATCAACACTTGATTCAAATTGAATTTTAAAGATCAATTTCAAATTATTTTAAAAATGGAGTATGAAACAGTATACACTCTCAGGTGTGTTGCTGTTCCTCACATTTTGCACGCTGCTGGGTAACGTGTGTCACCTCCTGTTTCCGAGTTACCTGGTTCTCTGCAGGCCTTGGCATCGGGTCTTCCGTGTTGTTCCGATTATGTTATCAGGCATTCGTCAGATATTTCACTCAAAAGGAAGGGTGTAGTTCACAGTGCTTTAAAAACAGTAGATGCCCTTTTTCATAAGTTGTCAAAGTAAATGCACTGCATTTCTAGTGTAGTAGGATTTTCTTGATACAAAGTAACCAAAACCAAGTTCTGAAGGAAATTGGGTACTAGGGTAATGTGACTCGAACTGTTAACCGTAAACCCCCGATTTAAATTTTTGCTCATGAGAATGTCTTTCCTGTTCTCATTAATTGCCATTTGAATAAGAAAATGTATATCTGATCCAATATATTAAATACATAAATTGTTGCTTTCACTGCTTCATATAATGGGATTTTGCATAAAATATGAAATAAAACATTTCAATTTTATGCATTGGGATCCTGGAAATTTTTCTCAACATATTTAAAGTTTCCTATTTCCATTTTGACTTCACTCTTTTTTTCAGGGATGTTCTGAAAGCTTTCCCTCCTCCCCCACAGAAATCAAACAGTGAAACGGGGAGGCTTCCTGCTAAAAAAATATTTACTGACTTTAAATAGCTCGTGTCTTTTTTCTGAGGCTCCATCTCAGAGCTTGCACTGCACAGATTTTGTTGGCTGGACCGTAAGGCTATTGTTGTTATGCCCAATATAAATATTTTAGTTGCTGTTCCATGAATGGTATTTGGAAAGTGATACGGATCCTTATTTGAATCTCTTTCTGCATAGGCAGCAACTGAGTAGCCTGTGTGGGACTTTGTCAGAGGCCGGGTTGAATATGGCCGGTGTCATTAGATTGTCTCCTTCCCTCCCAGACCTGTGTGATGACACTCGTGCAAACTAAGTGAGAGCAACCACTGGCAATTTTCTAAGAAGTGGTAAGCGGAAGGAGACAGCAAAAGAACCAAATACAGACTATTGTGTGCCTAAAATGTGTGGATATTCATTAATGCACATTGGAACCTGCTGTTCAAAGCAAGTCACATGTCCATTCTGTTCTGCTCGCAGGTGATCATGGAGGAAGCACTTTACTCCCACCAAATGTCACAAATGAATTTCCAGAATATGGGACCATGGAGGAAAGTGGAGAAGGCCTGAGAACCTCTCTCGAGTTTGATGCAGAGTCTCTGCCATGCTGCCCACAGGGGCAGGAGAGCGTCCGGCTTCTTGCTGGCCCCCACTCCGGTCTCAACAGTGTTACTGCAGGACCAAAAGGCATTGGAGAGGCCCCCTCTCACAGCCACCTCACAGAGCAACGTTTACAGCCCATAGACTCTTTGATTTCAGCTCTGAAAGCTACTGAAGCCAGAATAGCTTCAGGAACGCTACAGGCTACAACGGTACTGGACAAAGATGCTGTTTCTAGTTTTCCAGTTCAGCGGCTGGAAAAAGAGTTGGGCACTGCCAGTCATCAAACACAGAGAGCCAGCAGCACACTATTCCCTGCTGGCCAAGAAAAACCACCTTATATACCTCTCTCAGCTGAAGTTACAACAGAGGACCATTTTCATTTGAGCATCCAGAAGGATCTGACAGTGCTGTTAACTGCGGAGACTCAAGCGAATCCTGGGGGGAAAGGGGCTGTCCGTGTGCAGGAGCCAGCTCGTCCAGCAGCCTCTGCAGGGAGCCCAGCAGTGACCCACAACTCTGTGGGAAGTGCGGGTGTTTTGAGAGAGCGGAGGTCTGATCTGGGGAGAGAGCACCTGGTGGGATGTGATCGAGGCAGCTCCACAGGCCGCCCAGGCCGGGTCAAACACGTGGAATTTGAAGGGGTGGACATGCTGTGGACAGGAGGGGAAAAAAGAGAGACATGGCAACCTGTGGATTTGGAGACAAACTCTACCTCTCCTGAAAGCAAGGGGCTTTCCAAAGTGCCAAGCCACGTCATCTGCTCTGCTGGTTTGTATAATTCAGCTAGTGTCACTGAGAGTATTGGGGGCGAAACCTGGAGAGGTCCTTCAGGGAGGCCCGCCTCTAGGTCAGGGACATTTTCCCCTGTGCCTCTGGTTGAGAGTGGAGAGGATGAAGTCTTCCTACAGGAAAACAAAGAACACCTTGAGAAGAAATCTGACCTGGAGAGAGACAAGGAGAGGTGAGCCCCCGCTGCTGTCTGTGACGCCTGGGCCGTTTACTAGGAAACCATTACCTTGCTCGCAGTGACAGCTCAACTCACAGTGTCCTGGGTCCTTTTTTATCGTAGAACGGAAGAGAATGACTGTGAGCTGGATTCGATCTAAGTGTCTGAGCCATTCAGGCGACCCTGTTACAGTGCTGTCCATGAGCCGTAGGCCAGGGAAGCAGAGTGATGGAGAGATGGTGAGAATGGAACTATGTGAATCCACCTCTGACATGGTGTTGTATTTGACAGGTTTCGAGTTTTCCAGTATTAGGGTAACTACAACACCCCACAGTTATCTTTAATAATATGAAAAGATTTGGATTCTTGACATGTCCCGTAGTCATTACATTCTAACTTAGACATGTTTTTCTGGTGCAACACCAGTGTCTGCATCCAGCCCACATACGTGTGTGAACACAGCGTTTGGGCTGACTCAGTGTTTTAGGTTTAGAGAGGTGGTCCAGAGGTCAGAAGCAGACTGCATAGTTCTGTTGTCCTGCAGCATTCGTGTGGGAGTCCCTTCTCACGGGAACAGTATGTTTGGATTATGTCCCTGAGAAGTAAACTCAGCACCCTGTGATATTTCCTGGCCTTTCCGTTCATTTCTGACATCGCGTCCACCTCGGCTCAGAGCCCGATGAGTGGAAGACGTGACCCGTCTCTTCGCTTCCTTGCTCAGAGTCTGACCACACAGCACTCCTTTCAGCTGCCATTTGTTCTGTCGTTTCAGATTGGTGCCACCTTTCCTTCCCTCTGTCTTCATGACACCACATTTCATGGTTTTTATGGGAGAGCATCTGTGTCAAGGCTCAAGGGTTCCTTGTTTGTTGGGTTGGTATAAGGAGATGCCTTTTCCTCTTAAAATTAATTAATAAATCCACGGAGAGTGCTGCTTCTTTAGGATGGCTGTCAGGGCTCCTCCTCCCCACCCTCCCGCCCGGCCCCCCTAACACATAAAATCTCCAGACTTCCCTCCAAAGCTGCCTGATGTGTGTGTGGCACATGGCTCAGTAATTATATCCCCACTGCAGTATGTACTTGTGCTATTGTGTAGACTATTAATTCGTTTCTCCTTTCCTCCCTCCCTCCTTCCCTCCTTCTCTTCATTTTCTTCCACCAGTATTCTCCTTCATTGTCTTCCGTGTCCTTGACGCTGCTGGATGCTGGGCGTAAAGGGATGTTTAAAATAGACGTGGCCCACGGCCACTGCCTTCGTGTAGTTTACTGCTGCAGATGAACAGTGACCACAGAAACACATTAATAATTACAAGATCATAAATTGTGCTAGGTTCCATGAAAGAAAAGGAGAGACATACTAGAAATAATCATTTGAATGCAGGAGAGGCTAATTCATCTGATAACTTGGGCAGGGCCTTTCTCTGGAAATGACTGTTAGGTCGGGACTTGAGGAGTGACTCTGAGGTGACCAGGCGGAGAACGGGCAGGAAGACTGCTCCAGGCAGAGGGAACAGTGTGTACTGAGGAGGGCTGCTGGGTTGCCTGGAGTTGTGTGAAGCTTGACGGGTTTGAAGATTGGACACTCGCCCAGTGTGACTGGAGCATCGGGAGCTGGGGAGAGTGGTGGGACGTCAGTGTGTGGGGAGGAGCTTCATCACAGGAACTTCTCACTTCAGTCCAAGTGCAGTGAGAAGCCGTTAAGTGGTATAAACCCAGAATTGTGTTGGCACGTGGCAGGCCGTCAGTAATTCAAAACCAAGCAAGAGAGCTGTCTTGTTGAGGTGAATTCTGACAATACCTAAGAGGAATGTAGGTCACTTATGAGGTATTTGTATTCCTATTTCTATTTTCTTTCTATTTGTAGGAATCTGAGGCTCAGAGAGGTTAAGTTGCCAAAGTGACATAGCGAGTAGTGAGCACATCCAGAGTTTAACTCCAGGTTTTTGTAACTCTGGACCTCTTGTACTTAACTGAGCGTTTAAAATTTTACTTAGTTATTGACTGTTCATATTTAATATTTGAAGAATGTGCTTCATATTAATTAATTAATGCCCACCCCTGTGTACTCAGTTATAAATTATTTCTGTGTTTTCACTATTTAGCTTAGCCTTGCAGTAAACAAGTCTGCCAGATTTTATTTTATTTTATTTTATATTTTATATTTTTATTTGTTTGTTTGTTTGTTTGTTTGTTTTTAATTCTTTACTGCCTAATTTTGGACCTGAAATCTCTCTGCAATGCTGCCTTATTGTCAGCAGGGGGCAACCCTTGGATTCTAATGTAGTCATCTGCTGGAAGGTGTTTGGACTTATTTAAATCAGAAAGTATTAATAGACTGATGAAAGCTTAGTGTATTTTTACTCCATTAAGTTTACACAATATATTTATCTGCTTCTGTTAAAATTAAGCATGATGGTAGCTCTTAATACTTTGAAAAACGAGAATATCTTATTCAGATATTCATTGGACTGGATGTATTCACATACAAGGAAACTAGTTTGAAACGATGTTAAGCCATTCTGAGGGTAGTGAAGCACATGTATGCTGGGAGTTGTTTTTCCAGCCTGAGCATGGGTCTGTGTTATCTTCCTTCCCAAGTACATTAAGACATAAGCCTGGTGAATACAAGTGTTAGCTCTACAGAATATTATCCTTTTTATATGGTTGAAGAGGAGACAAATTAAAAGAAAAAAATTAACCTACTATTGAAATTCTTCACCCTTATTTCCTTCCCAGGATTCTTGAACAGGAGGAGCGCCTTATGGGAGGAGAGGATGAGATCCTTGGCCCCGGGTACACAGAGGACTCCACGGATGTGTACAGCTCCCAGTTCGAAACCATCTTGGACAACACCTCCATGTACTACAGTGCTGAGTCCTTGGAGACATTGTACTCGGAGCCCGAGAGCTATTTCAGCTTTGAGATGCCCCTCACTCCGATGATACAGCAGCGCATTAAAGAAGGCACTCAGTTCCTGGAGAGGACAGCAGTGGGAGGACAGCAGGACCTCCTGAGCGTCTCAGCAGATGGTGGAATAGTGATGGGCTACTCTTGTGGGATCGCCAACGGGCTCAGTGACGCTAGGGACTCCAGCTACGCAAAAGGCGCCCCGGAGATTGCCTACTGGGGAAGGTACTAGTCCTCTTCTCATTGATTCTGTGCTGGTGGGCTTTGTAGCATTTCCTCTGGGAAATCTGAGTGTGGACTATATTTGAAAAGCATTTGGCCAGTTTCTATGCATATATATGAATGATGTGAGTAAAATGTAATGCGGGTTTTAGGGGCAGGCTGGGTACATGTTAGTGGTTTGTCTCCCTATTTGGTGGTATTTCTTGGATGCCCATGTAGAAATTGGCCACATACCTAAACACACATCTGTGAGCGACGAGCAGGTGTTAGCTTGGATGGTGCAGCTTCGGTAGCAGTGGTATGGTTCTGTGAAAAGGAGGCTGACAGGCCTTGGCTTTCGTGCTGACACATCGGTTGATGACATGGAGCAGGTGGTTTGATTGGGCCAGAGGTTCGTTAGTCATAAGTTGAGGGTATGGATTAGATGCTGACCAGAGTTCCTCCCAGCCCTTTGCTCTGTCAGGTCCTGTTGGCAAGCAGCCTTTCCATTCCGGCAGTGGCAGGGGAAGGACCTGATTATCTGGAACATGATGGAGCTGATACCTTGGTCAAGACTATACACATTACTCTCTCTCTATTTTAGGGTTTGTCTACCTGGGAGAAGAAGTGACAAATCCTGTAGGTTGTATGCACCATACCTGTCCGGTGACTCCCTATCTGTGGATTACCCAGCATTCCTTTTCCTCTTGTTCATCACCCTTGGGTCATTCACCTGTTTTTTAACATCTCCATCAGTGGGCAGAGCCTGATAAACTTCCTCAAGATGTTATAAGTTTAGTTTTGATATAGTTTTCCTTAATTACAGTGTGTCAATGTGTGTGGGTGTGGAGGTGGCGGGGAGGTTAAATGGGGAAAAACTATTTTAAAGCTGTATGAAAAAAATCAGTGCTTGTTTTTAAAATGAGTATTCATAGTACAGTTTTCCAAGGAACCTCTTTTAATGAGCAGCTCATCCTGTACTAAGCATGTTCTATAACCAGTTTGCTTACAGGCTTGTAATGCATTGGATGAGCATATTCAAGACTGGCTAGGACATTATAACATTGTAGCTGAGTGTTTCCATGTGAGGTGGACCATGGTGTTGTCGTCTTGGGTCTCAGTGAAATGAGGAAAAGAACACAGATTTCAAAAGTATAACACCTTGGTCTGAATTACTTGGGCAAACCAATTATTCCCTCTGAAACCTGCTTTATCGATTTGCAAAATAGGGTTAATGATACCCAGTACGCTGTGCAACTGCAATTTAAAGAGTTAGAGTACAGCCCTGGCTGGTGTAGCTCAGTGGATTGAGCCAGGCTGTGAACCAAAGCATCACAGGTTCGATTCCCAGTCAGGGCACATCCCTGGGTTGCAGACCATGGCCCCCAGCAACTGCACATTGATGTTTCTCTCTCTCTCTCTCTTTCTCCCTCCCTTCCCTCTCTAAAAAAATAAATAAATAAAATCTCTTTATAAAAAAAAGAGTTAGAGTACAGTACCCAGCAGAGTGCTCGTACAAAGTAAGCTTGAGTAAATGTGTGAGTCAGAATGGGATGGCTGATAAGCCCCCATTCAGACTTCCTGTCTCCCTGACAGGGGTGTGCCCCTGAGAAGAGGGGGCTCCTGAAAGCAGGCATCCCAGAGAGGGGAGTGTACCTGAGAGGGAGGGGGGTGTCTCTGAGGCAGGGTCCCAGAGAGGGGGCAGCTCTGAGTGGAGGGTGCTGCTTCCTTCCTTTTTTTCCATCAGTATCTCTGGTAACTGTAAATTGTGGTAAAATGCTGTCCCACAGGTAATGCAGAAATTTTCATTAAAATTCCAGTACAACTTTCTGGGGAGCTGAGCCTTTTGGGCTGAGAGGCTGTGCTGCAGAAGCCACCGAGAGGGTAAGCAAATAAAGAGGAGATAAACATCACAGAGTAGGAACAGGAAGGAATTGGGTGAAAGGTTTATCAAATGTATGGTCTGTTCCCTTAGGGTAGAAAGTCGTCATCACTGGGGCAGCCTGAGTGCCAGTCGTTAGTAGGGCAGAGTTAGGTAGTTAAGAGAGAGTACTGGGGTAGGTTGTAGTATTTTAGCACCTCAGACCCAGACAGTGGTATGCCTCAGGCCTTCTTGAGATAAGGTTTCAGCTGCGTCACCTGCATTGTTGAACCCTGAGATCTTGCTCAATGATAAGACTGAATTTTAATACTGGATGAGAAGCATCTTAGAGACGAGCCAGCCGAACTTCTCACCCAGCTCTGGGCACTTTTCCCATGTGTATATGTGTCAGTTCAGGGTTTTTAAAAAAATAGGGCAGCCCTGGCTGGTGTGGCTCGGTGTGCTGAGTGCTAGCCTGTGAAGAGGAAGGTCACAGGTTCAATGCCCAGTCACGGCACAAATATGGGTGGCAAGCCAGGTCCCTGGTTGGGGGGGCATGTGAGAGGCAATGGATTGATGTTTCTCTCTCACGTAGATGCTTCTCTCCCTCCCTTTCCTTCTCTCTAAAAAAATGAAATCTTTAAAAAGGGCAGTCTCAGTGATCCTAAGAACTTTTAAAGAAACTGGTATAACTTGCATGCATTTTCTTTCTTTTGCGTTCCACCCCCTCTGCCTCTTGGTGCTTTGGGGAAGTTGCCGCACCAGAGGAGCTGTAGGTTGAAGAGTTATGCCATTTTCCCACTTGAAGTGGGGCCTTTAGACAGCCTTGCTTTACAGTAACGAATTGGAGTCCCAGTTTGGTGCGATAGATTTACCTGCTGACAGATTCTGTGCCAGAATTCAAATCACCTGACCCCTATACCAGGAACAGTCACTGTTCTAGGCCGTCTGATCTCATGTATTGACTCTTTCCCTTAATCTAGTTTCTCTCAATGCCACGTGTCTGGAGAGCCAAAGTCTGCGTTGGTGATTGTGGAGTTGCTTGTTGGTGGTAGTGGTGCATTTTCAGCTTGAGAAAAAAAATTACCAAATCGTTAATAAACGTGTCTCCATACATTTTTAAAGGAATCAATGAGCAGGCTTTCAAAAATCTCTCCGGCATTAAAGCATTCCTCTGCAGAGGTGAGGACGCAGACCCAGGTACTGACCGAGCCCATCAGGGGCGCCCATGCGAGAGCACCGAGTGCACCACAGCCAGCACAGCTGACTGGCTGCAGCCACTCTCTCCGGGCTGAAGTACTGGGGTTCAGGAAAGCAGTTCTCTTCAACTGTATTAATAAGTGAGGCATTTACACAAGGAAAACAATAAATAAAACAAGTACACATGCCTAGCATTCCATATCCATTCACCAGCCTTCCTGTTTTTTTGGAAGTGGACTGGCCCGGGGCAGGGGGAGGGGTCCTGACTGTGTTGGATAAAGTGAACTCTGAGGAAGATGAACTGCAAAGCGGGTGACATCTGTCCCCCAATAATGCTTCTGTCATTCTAACTAGACACGAACCACGAAAGTTAAGCCCATCCCTGTTGAGGCATTGATTTTAATGTTAGTTGACAGCCAGTAGACAATGTAAGATTACTTTAGGTAGTCTCTAAACACAGTTTTATATCATATGCCTCCAGTAGGTTTGATTATTTAGTAAATACAGTGTGCTTAATTCTCATAATAAGCTGGGAGAAAGGAACTGTTAGTATTTTCACTTTCCAGAGAAGGAGACTGAGGCACACAGCAGTTGAGTAACTTGCTCAAAGCCACAGAGGTAGTGAGTGACGTACCCAGGATTTGAGCCCAGGCAGTCAGGCTCCAGTGTAGTGTGGATCTCAAAACGAAAATATATTTGTTTGGCATTGCCTATATATGTATATTTTTAAATCCTTTTCAATTTCAATATGTACCTTTAGTTAGTTGTTGAAATTATTTCAATGGCAGTATTTGACTGATTTCTTTGGAACGCAGGGTGACACTGCTCTCCATGGCTGCTGCTTTAAAGGAGGGCGGAAGGGGTGGGGGAAGGTGATGAGGATGCTGCAGCTCTGAGCAAATCCAACTCCCCCTCTCAGGAACACCTTCCAGTCTTGGGGTTAGCTTAGCCGTGCTTTGGTGGCTAGAGGGGGATTGTTCAACCATGTTACTGCCTCCACTTAGGTCAGGGAAGGAGATAATTTCAAGTATGTTGAAGTCTCGTATCAGGTTAGAAAGGACATTTTTAGAGAGTATGAATGTTCACTGTCTTTTAAAAGGATCACTCTTTATAAGGTAAAAATGTCTTTTAACAGGCTGACAGTAGCTGGGGTGGGGAGGGGATAATGATGAAAAGAAGGGGAAGGGACTAGTCAAAGAATATGTATGAAAGACCCAGGGACACGGATAACAGTGTGGGGATGGACTGTGGAAGCAGGGGGTAGGCTGGGCAGAGGAGGGCAAAGGGGAAAAATTGGGAAAACTGTAAGAGAATAACAATAAAAAAATCCTTTAAAAAGTCTTTTAAAATCCTGAAGTAAATCTAGACAGGAAGAGTTAAATTCTGCCAGGTGCCCTGAGTGCTCTGAACACTGAGTGTTAACCAGGGAACCGCATGTCCGTCAGGAAGTAGCTCGCCCTGTGAATGTAACACAATATTTTAATGAAGGAGCAAAGGGTAGCAGCATCCCCCCCTTTGTGGTCCAGCTCCAGAGCACTCAGGCTAGTGGGTCAGCGGTGCTGTGTGAAGTCCAGTCACATGGCTCCAAAATTAGAAAGGATAATTAGAGACTTACAGTAATACATGTTCCAATGGGTTCCTTTGTGTCTGGGTGCTTCTCCCTCGCCGGCCCATCAGCTGATGACTGCAACTCCAATCAGTAAGTTCTGACCTGGAGATTGTAAGGCACAAATGTTGTCATTGTGGCCATGAACAGAGCTGAAGATTGTCCATTTCTATTGAGCTTTAGGTTTGGACAGATAGAAGAAGAGAGTAGCAAATACAGTAATATGACAGGAACTTCTCTTCTGATTCTCTTAAATATACAAAACTCCTTTTTCAAATTACCCTTTTAGTGTAATAGGTATATTTTGTGTCTCAGCTTCCTAGTTTTTCTTTCAGATATGGCTCAGGATACGGAGTA